TTTATTTTTTAATTTTTTTTCCATTATTCATTTGGACGAAATCGTTACGAACAATGATTCAATCGACGTTCATGACAATTATGATGATTATGATGATTTAACATTGCCTCTTGACAAGCCGAACGATGAACTTTTTGAGGGAATAGATTTTTTTCATTTTTCAATGCCAATCTCCCATATACGCCATATTTTTTAACGTCCTTGTCCCTAAGCGTACCATTCTGTTTCATGGCCATATAAATCTGTTCTAATATGCCATAACTTCGTAAAAGAAAATCACGTTGGGCCAATGCAGTTATCCTTTCTCTTTCCTCGGATTCTGATATTAGCTCTGGTTCAAATGAGGACAATACTTTGTTCGAATTTTTTGGCAATGGCCTTTGCTATTTTATAAATTTAAAATGATCGATAATATTATTAATAATAATAATAATAATAATAATAAAACGAAAATATATATGTATTAGGTTGGAAACTATGAAACGGGCGTTTTTGTTTAGTTTTTTTTTTATTTTCATTCAAAACCCGTTTCATAGTTTCCAACCTAATGTATAAGTATCTGGGTTGGAAACTATGAAACCGGCGTTTTTGTTTAGTTTTTTTTTTATTTTCATTCAAAACCCGTTTCATAGTTTCCAACCTAATGTATAAGTATCTGGGTTGGAAACTATGAAACCGGCGTTTTTGTTTAATTTTTTTTTTATTTTCATTCAAAGCCCGTTTCATAGATTCCAACCTAATGTATAAGTATCAGGTTTGGAAACTATGAAACAGGCGTTTTTGTTTAGTTTTTTTTTTTATTTTCATTCAACGCCCGTTTCATAGTTTCCAATCATTATTAATCTCTTACCGGTATGATATTTTTGAAATATGTGAAAGATTTATGTTCCAAACGTTTATTGTTATTATTTTTTTGTCGGACATTTGGACTTTCTGGAATTGATTTCTGTTCGTACGACTTGCCATTGGTCCTTTTATTCTCCTGTTCTTTTATTTTAATCTATAAGAGAGAACGAAAAAATATATAATATATAGAATTACGATCGCTTGAATATATTTCATTGATTATGACGATCTGACAATGACAACGACAACGACGACAACGATAAGGAAAAAAGAAAAGAAGGAAAAAGAAAAATGAAAAAATAATTTTAATCGACGTTTAATTATTCATTATTATTACGTATTATTTGTATTTTCTAACAAATAAACGATAATCACGTTTGTTTGAGAAAATATATTTTGTGGTAAGTTAAATGAAAAATTTTTCTTCTAAAGAATTTAATTTATAATAAACAATTTTTTTATAGAAAGCTTTATTTAACGAACAATTTTATTTTATAAAGGATTTAATTTAATGGACAGTTCTTTTATTAAAATATTTAATTTGATGAAAATTAAATTGGAAATTTAATTTGATTTTTTTTTTTTTTATAAGAAATTTGATTTAATAAATAATGTTTGTTGAAGAATTTAACGCAATAAAAATTTTTATGAAAAATTTAATTTAGTAAACTATTTTTTATAAAAAATTTAATTTAATAAAAACTTTGTATAAAAAGTTTAATTTAATGAACAATTTTTGAGAAAAAATTTTCGATCGAAAAATAGTTTTTATGAAAAATTTAATTCAATAAAAATTTTTGTAAAAAAATTTAATTCAATAAAAATTTTCACGAAAAAATTTAATTCAGTATAACGATTCTTTATAAAAAGTTTAATAATAAAGACTATTTTCATAAAAAATTTAATTCAATAAAAAGTTTTATAAAGAATTTAATTTAATAAATGACTTTTTAGAAAAACAAAAAAATACAATTTGATAAACAATTTTTTATAAAAAAAAAATTAAATTCAATCAACAATTTATTATAAAAAAAAAAAATAATTTGATGAACAATTTAAAAAAAAAATTAAATTTGATGAACAATTTTTTATAAAAAAAAATTAAATTCAATTAACAATTTTTTATAAAAAAAAATTAAATTTGTTGAACAATTTTTTATAAAAAGAAAATTAAATTCAATTAACAATTTTTTATAAAAAAAAATTAAATTTGTTGAACAATTTTTTATAAAAAAAATTAAATTTGATGAACAATTTTTTATAAAAAAAAAAGAAAAAAAAACTGAACCAAATGAATATAAAAGAATGAAAATGAATTTTTTTTTGTTCCTTCCTTTTGTAATACTAACTTCGTTCTCCTCTTTATGAACCTTAGAAGCTTCCTCGCGTGCACGTGAAGCCACGGTCTCTTGGAACACTGTCGTGCCATTTTGTTTAAAAAATTGTTGATATTTATCGTCGCCAATGGACGGATATATTCGACGAAAATTACCGACATGATCATCCTCCCATTTAAATTGTCTCTCTATATAATCCTGTTCGTTTTTTTCTGACTTCAATAAACCGATCATCGTATTATCGTTGTTCGAACTGAAACAGAAGACAAAAAAAAAAGAAAAGAAAAGAAAAAAAGGAGAAAAAGAAGAAGAAGAAGAAGAAGAAAAAGAAATTATCGTAGAGCCTAATATTAATATAACGAACTATGAACTATGACCTTATGTCACTGATGATAATCACACACCGATCGATCGATGCGACATTAAAAACAATATAATTAATTATGCAAATAATTGGGATGATTAAAGAAAAGAAAAAACAAAGGAACAAATAAATTATGATTTAAGAATTCTCTTATTTTTCTTTCTTTTCTTTTGTTTTATTTTTTTTTTTCTTTTCTCCATCTTTTTCTCATTCTCACCTAAAATCTTTCAAGATCACACCTTGAAGTAATCTATCCCTAACGCGTCTTCTATCCTCCTCTATGATCTTCTTTTTGTCGCACTGTTGAAGATTCAACATTTCAAAGGTGTCGGTCAAAAGTGACTCCTTAACGTCCTTGTCGATTTGTGCGTCCGTATGAAAACTCGGCGAATGATTGACCTAATTTATAAAAAAAAAAAAAAAAAAAAAAAAAAAAAAAAGAAGAAAAAAAGAGCAGGGTTGGGAGAGAAAAATAAAACATTACAATAATATAAATAATTAATCGATTGATTTAAATTAATTAATTCACATTGTTATTTACTAACTTCCAATAGATATGGTCTTAATTTCCAATCGAGTAAAATGTCGAATCCTAAAAGTTCGAAGCAGGCGTTTGTTCTATCGTGTGTTGAAAAACACGTACGATAACTATGTTTTAAAACTGGTTGAGCTGCTAATATTGTTTTTATAATAATCTCATCGATTTTATTCCATAGTTCGTCAACGTTGATATTATTAACTCTTAACCATTTCAACAATGTCGAGATCTTTCTAAATAATTGATCGAATGAAAATTTATATTATATATCGTAAATATCGTAATAATCATAAATAAATAAATTGAAATTATATATATATATATATAAATTCGATTTGTAAAATAATAAAATCAGTTGTTTCATTATTTTATTATTCTTACAATTATTTATTTATTTATTTTTTTTTTTTTTTTTTTTATTTAATCTTAGAATATTATTTTAATGATTATTTTATTAATCTTACGATATAATTATTGACCTTTTGCTACCTATCTCTTCGTCAACAATGTACATACGGCTGTGTTTATTAACAGCATAATTAGTTAAGTGCATAAAAACGTTTGATGTATTGTGACCTGTTGGTTCCTTGTATCTACTCGTAGCAAATCTAACGAAGAAAAATTTTCAGGTTTTATATTTATATATTTTAATATATTTTAATATATTTTAATATATATATATATATATATATATATATATATATATATATAATCGATCCACTTTGTACATATATTTTTATATTATATATATATAATATATTTTTTTATTATATATCTATATTATATATATTATATTTGTTATTATTATATATATATATTTTATATATTTTATATATATATATGTATATATATATATATTTGATTGATATATAATTACCTTGCTAGACCATCATTGTAAACATATATTCGAAGAGGATCGCATGATGTTATCAATGTATAGATACGTAAATCGAATTTATATCCGTCTATCAAATATGGCTGTAATATAATAGATCATTTTCCTTTTTTGTTTTTCCTTTTCTTTTTTATTTTTTCTTTATTTTCTTTTTTTGCCCCTTTTTCTCCTTTTTGTTTTGGGTACCTTTACTTTTTACTCGATATGAAATATAATAATTTTTTTTTTTTTTTTCATTTCATTTTAATCGAAATATTATTTCAATTGAATTGTATTAATTTAATATCATGTTTATTTTATTTAAATATTTTCCATTTATGTTTATTACTTAAAATGTCTTCATTTTAATTATTATATATATATATATATGTTAGTCAATTACCTTGGAAATGTAGACTTGGCAAATCATGCGTTCGCTTGGTTTAATGTCCTTCAAATTTTTGGTCAAGTAAATTCCACGTCCTTGACAACCAGTATCCGGTTTGATTATATATGTTTTTGCCCGACGTGTTTTCGAATATGCAATGGCATCGCCATGGCTACGAAATTAAAAACATAAAGGAAAAAAAAAAAAAAGAAAAAGAAAAAGAAAGTTAGAAAAAAAGATGAAAAAATAAAAACAAGATAACTTCAGTTTTCCCTTTCGTTTGTTCATTTTTATTTCATAAATTAGAAAAAGAAAAAAAAAAAAAGAAAAAAGAAAGAAAAAGAAGATAACTTTCTTCTTTCCCTTTATTCTTTTTTATTTATTTCTTTATTTCTTTATTTCTTTATTTATTTATTTTTTGTTATTTTTTTATTATTACTATTATTATTATTATTTTTTTTTCTTTTGTTCCTTTCTCTTTTTAATTCTTTTTCAACTTACTCAGCAGGAAAGCACCAAGTTTTAGGAAAAAAATTATAATCCTTCGGGAAGAGTTTCAACATGCGATTAAGATTTCTGGCAAGTAAATCCTTACGACATATTTCCGTCATACCAGGAAAATGATTGACCTTTTGATATCTTTTCATATCCTTAGCACGTTCAATACTGATACTGAGATCGGTCCAATAAAGATTCCAACTACTGTCTTCTGTCACTTCCTTCATACCAAATCGTGCTGCTACGCGTCTAACTACTTCGTATTTGCAATTACTTGTGCAAATAGTTAAGTATCTATCAAAGCAAAAAAAGAAACAAAAAAAACCAAAAAAAAAAAGAGAGAGAAAAAAAAGATCCATTAGTACTCGATCAAACGATTGTTTTAATCATATAACATTGAAATTATATATTAATAAATATTTTAATTATATATTAATAAATATTACTATATCTGATATTTATTAATTTTATAAATTATATTAATTATTAATATCGTGTCTGTGTATATTTATACTCGTATATATATATGTTTACTGTATACATATAAATGTCACCTTCGTTTCTTTTTCTTTTTCGTTTTTGAATTTTCAGGATTAGTCTTCCTCGATTCGGTGTCACTTTCGGCACATAAGATAACTGTCAACAATAAAAAACTGATCAACAAGAACACACATAATTTAATATATTCATGTGTATTTATACATATATATTTATATAATTTTGTATAGTATGGTAATATTGTTATATTGAATTATTATTTAAAATTATTATATCACATAAGTTAATGTATAAATGTATATATATATATATATATATATATATATATATATATATATATAATTTTACATAAAAAAAATATATATATATATTATATATATATATATATATAATAATTTTTAATAATAATTGTATACATAATGCGTATAATTATATATATATATATATATATATATATATATATATATCAAATAGATCACTATATATATATATATATATATATATATATATATATATATATATATATATAATCTAAATGATCTAATATGATAACATTGTTATATTTAATTATTATTTAAAATTATTTTATCAAATAACTTTATATATATATATAAAATTTAACTAAAAATAATATATATATATAATCATTTTTAATATTAATTATATAAATAATGTTATATAATTATATATATATATATTTTTTTTTTCAATATACATATTCATATATATATATACATATATATATGTGTGTGTGTGTACCTTTTTCATTTTCTATCCTATGATTTTTCAAAGGACCATGAAAAACAGTTTCAGAATAATTGTTATTAAAAGTCGATTCGCCTAATTCCTCGTAATCAATTTCACGTAAAATTCTTGAAAAAGTATTGGGACGAATATTCTTGGGCTCGTTCACTATCGTAATATTATGTTTATTGATACTTTCAAGGATACTCATGACAAATAACTTAACATCACTTCTGTTCGTATGTTTGTCTCGTACATTACTTTGAAATATTAATTTATTATCCTTTAATATTCATATAGACGAGTTCTCGGATTTTTTCGTCATCGTGATCACTTTCGAAATTTTTTGTTATTTTTTTTGTTTCTTTTTAAATTGTATAGTGGTTTTTCTTTGTTGTTTTTTTTCTTTTCTCTCTCTCTCTCTCTCTCTCTCTCTCCCTCTCTCTCTCTCTCTCTCTTTCCTTTTCTTCTATTTTTTTTTCTTTCTTTTTTTCTCTCCTTTTCTTGCAATTACGAGATTATAATTTATGATTTAAGGCGAACGTGTTCAGATAATATTCGCGTTATTGGGTTATAAAGAAAGGTGAACGAAAGGAAGATGTTCGGTTTATCATTATTCTGTCACACGAGACGCGAGCACGATTTTATAAAGTATGTGTGTATATATATATATATATATATATATATATATATATATATATATGTATATATGTATTTATGTATATATAAAGTATATATAAAATGTATCTGTATACCTAATCGATATCTAATCGATTGTCGCGTTCATTTGTTTTCTCGATTTTTTTTTACTTATTCGTATGAATTTAGTTCACTCGTTTAAACAAAATTTATTCTAAAAAGTTGCAAGTAAACGTTTGCCGAAATGTGATTTCAAAAAAAAAAAAAAAAAAAAAAAAAAAATACAAAAAAAAAAAGAAACAAAAAAAAAAGGAAATAAATATATAAAGAACTAAAAGAAAAAGATGTAAGATTATTTATTTAATTATAATGAGAAGTCGTTTCGATTAAAGAGGATAAAAAAAAAAAAAAAGAAAAATATAAAGAAAAAAAAATATTACAGATGTTTCAATTTAAGAAAAATTAAAATACGATAATATCGTATTCCTTTACTTTGGAATTAATGAAAACTTTTAGATTTTGATTGAAATCGATGATAGAGAAAATTTTTGAGGAATGGAAAAAAAAATGGAAGAATTTTTTTAATCTGAATAGGAAACAAAAGGAACGAACAATTTATTCAACACTTATACATGTATATATATATATATATATACACACACAGACACACACATACGCACATATATATTTATTGTTATATATTCATAATTTTTTCATACCGTGGGTCATCGATGGGTCACCCTGATGTGTTTATTTGTTTTAACAGATAATAAAACTTAGACACTTGCTGTTATCTTTTTTACTAATAATTCTTATCAATTATGTATTTTTTAATCTCAATTGTTCTCTCTTATTGCAATATGACACATAATCATTTTACATAAAATATATAAATATAAATACATATATACATATATATTTATATATATATATATATATATATATATATATATATATGTAAATAAGAAATAAAGCAATTAAACAGAAAATTGTATCGATCGATATGCACAAATCTGATTACAGAATATGAAATAGAATTTTTTTTGTTTTATTTATTTATATATTCAATTATATAATTAACATTTTTATATTTGTGTGTGTGTGTGTGTGCGTGTGTGTGTACACTTTATATAATTTTCAGAATAATTAAACTACGATCGATTTTATTCGATCCGTCTTAATTAATAAAAAAAAGGACAGAAACAAAAAAGAACAATTTATTTCGCACGAAAAACTTTCTTTACAATTTCGATGAAACAGAAATGAAAAATTATATTTATTAAAAAAAAAAAAAGAAAAAAAAAAAAAAAAAAAAAAGACAAAAAAGAACAGAAAATAAATAAATAAATAAATAAATAATAAATAAAAAAAATTACGTTAAGTAAATACTTTTAGGATGATTGTAAATTGATCGATCTTTCTTTTTTCTGTTTCTTTTTTTTTTTTTTTTTTTTGTTTTTCTCTTTTTTCTTTTCCTTTTTTCTTTCTCGCTTTTCGATTAGACCACTACGTGATAATTGTCGACGCACTTATATCGGAGAATTATTATTTTGTAATTTAATGGGAGACACTTGGAACGTGTCCGATCTTTTCGAGATATTACCGTGCACTGCGGTATTGTGTGTGCGAGAGCTATTTCCATATAGCTTGTTTAGCTTCAATTAGATTGTTGCGGACGTATTTAGAATTTCTGCAGTCTAGTATACGAACGTGCACGAAACCATAAATAGGTCGACGTACCTTTGAACTTATAGTAACTACCCTTTCTTCGATTTACCACCTTCGTGTATTTCTTTAATTATGATTCTCGTTTAATTAGTTCGTATCCTATTCGTTATTCTGTTTATTCGTAACATTGAAAATTCTTATTTCTTCCTTTTTCCATAATTATTCTAATAACAAAATTCTATCAACGATCAAATTATTTATTTATTTATTTGTTTGTTTATTTATTTATTTATTTACTTATTTATTTATTTACAGTCAATTAGAATTCAATATTGTTCGTTTTAATTAGTTAATCAATGTTCGTAATTGTTCGTAAGATTGAAAATTTTTTCTATACATTTTTCTAATGAAAAGAATTCCAACGATTTAGGATCGTTTTCTTTTCTTTTTTCTTTTTTTTCTTTTTGTTTTATATTTTCGATTAATAACAAAAGAAGTTACAACATTGGAAATTTTCGTTTCATTTAGATTTTTTTTCTTTTTTTTCTTTTTTCTTTGCTATTCGTTTTAATTTGATAATTATTACGAAATTAAATCAAACGTTTTAAGTATTTTTCATTATATAAATTATTTCTATTCGATAATAATAATGAAAAATTGTAAATATAATTTGTCAAAAAAAAAAAAAAAAAAAAAAAAATAAATAAAAGGAAACTTTCTTCGTGTAATAAATAATCGTCGTGAAATAAATTCTTCTTAGAATTCAATTATATTTTTAATCGAAATAACAATTGTGAGAATGTGTTTCGTTTCGTTTACGTATTATTTATTTTAATTCATTATATGTAACATGGATCAGTACAATTAATATTTCCAATTACGTGTAAAAGTTTCTTTATAAAATTGATTAAAAAAAAATTCCCTGCCTTATGATGATCGTCTACGAGAATATATTTATTTTTTTTTTTTTTTTTTTTTTTTTTTTTTTTTTTAATAAAATTATAATTTCGAATGTATTCTTTCATTTCGATCGATACTTCGAACAATATCAACAACGTCCAATGCACATCCCCAACTCAAAGTAAGACCAGCACCACCGTGACCGTAATTATGTATCACCTGTATCAACGAAATCGATTAGGATGTGTGCGTATAAAAGAGAAAAAGAACAACAACAAAACAAAAAAACAGAAGAAAAACTACTGCGATATTTCGGATCATACTCACGTGACACTTTTTACCATTTCTTTTAGATTCCAAACTTTCCATTTCTAAACGAACTTTTGATCTTGCAGGTCGTAGGCCGACCCATGATCTTAATATTTCAGCTTTCTGTATAATAAAATCATTTTTCTTTGTTTTTATTTATCATATTAAAATTAAACATTTGTCAATGATTATTATTATATAATTATTTATAGCTAAAAATTACTAGATGAACCCAAACATAGTTGCTAGACGAGTCAAAAATTACTAGATGGACCTTACAATTGTCACTAGGTATGTCAAAAATCACTAGACGGATCAAACATTTTCAAGTCGGCCAAAAATTACTAGATGGACCCAAACATAGTTATTAGATGAGTCAAAAATTACTAGATGGGTCCTACAATTGTCACTAGATATGTCAAAAATCACTAGACGAATCAAACATTCTCAGGTCGGTCAAAAATGACTAGATAAACTCAAACATAGTTACTAGACAAGTCAAAAATTACTAGATGGGCCCTACAATTGTAACTAGGTCTGTCAAAAATTACTAGATGAATCCAAAGTTTACGTGTGATATTTTAAATATCGATTGCTTTTTTTCGAGACTCGTTGGATCAATTTTTTCTTTTTTTTCATTTTTTTTTCGAATCGTAAAACTACAAGTTTACGATGAACTATTAAAATATTAATTATGAGAGCATAAAGAGTCTCGATAAAGGAGTACATAATTGATTTTTAATATGATCTATAAGAATCTTTTGGATAAACTAAATATATATTTCTTCTATGTTACCTTTAATGATGGAATAATACGATGACAACCTTCGTGAATGAATTTTGTATCCTTCTCTCGCACACAAAGATCGTAATCCCCTTCTTGATGAGTACCGCCTAAGATGACGTTGTTTGTACTAAAGAAAAATAAATAAATAGATAAATAAAATAAATAAATTATATATTGAACAAAGACAATTAGAAATATAAGCCGATTTATTACTCGTATTAAAAATTTCTAATTTACTTTTGTAATATAAGTAATTAAATATTTCCTATTTTGTTTTTTTTTATTATATTGTTCATCGATAAAACAATGTATAATAATAATAATAATAATAATAATAATAATGATGATGATGATGATGATGAAAAGAAATAAATATAAATTGTAAATTTAAAAATATAAAAATGAATTGATCTTAGAAAATATTATTAGATTATTGAGAGATCATTTCTTTTTTTTTTTAAATGAAATTTGTTTATAAAATTTTTTTCTTTACTTTGGTATAACGTAATTGCAATTGTCATCGTCCACCACGAAACAATTCAGGACCCAGGGTGCTTTTACCTTAAAAAAAATAGTATAAAAAATGGAGAAAAAGAAAAATTAAAAAAATTAATGTAACAAAAATTACATATTAAAAAAAGGAATTAATGACAAAAAGAAAAAAAGAAAGAGAGAGAGAGAGAGAGAGAGAGATAAAACAGATAAACAAATACATACAAAGACTTATACATTATATATATCATATTTCAGAGCGTGATATCATTACGTTAAGTTTTTATTAGGGTATATATACAGGGTGGGCCAAAAGTTTTTCAACGATATAAAATATCAGTTATTTTTTTTCAATACTTGTTTGCTCTTCTTTATAGTTAATATTGTAGTTTTATGAACTTTACGATTTGAAAATAAAAAAAAAAAAAAAAAAAAAAAAAAAAAAACAGAAAAAAAGAAAAAAGAAAAAGATAATTAACTTGGAAATAATCGTTTTTTTATATCTTTTAGAAATTTTTAGCCTATCTAAAAACTTTTAGCACACCCTTTATATATATATATATATATATATATATATATATATATATATATATATATATATAAATATTAGGTTGGAAACTATGAAACGGACGTTTTTGTTTAGTTATTTATTTTCATTCAACGTCCGTTTCATAGTTTCCAACCTAATAAATGTATACGTATTAGGTTGGAAACTATGAAACGGGAAAACTATAAACGCAGACTAAACAAAAAAACGCGCGTTTCATAGTTTCCAACCTAATATATGTATATATATTTATTACAACACACACACACAAACACACACACAGCCACACACATTATAATGCACAAGGTTTTATGTTTACATATATATATATATATATATATGTGTGTGTATACAAGTATTATGTATATGTATATATACATAAAACTCATTGTGTATGTGTATAATATATATATATATATATATATATATATATATATATATATATATATATACATGTATATATTCATATGTCTGTGTAAAAAATATGTATTTACCCTAGTAACTTGACCTCTCACAGCTGTGACAGTGTCATCATTGACGAGTTCTCGTGCTCCAAGACCACTGCAATTGATAACAATTTCATAACCATCGTCAATCAATTCACTTAAGTCACGAATCGTTCTTCTTTTCAATTTGCCACCCAATGCGACAAATTTATTCGTTAGCCAAGGTAAGAAACTTGTTGGCTCGCAGGTGTACGTCACGAAATGCCAACCATTTCTATTAAAAAAAAAGAAAAACATGAAAAAGAAAGAAAAAAAAAAATAAAACAGAAAAATGTTAGAAACTTTTTTATTTTTCTCTACTTTACTTTTTCTTTTTAATTTACGTTAATGAAACACAAGTTTTCGTTTCTTTTCCTTTCATTGAAATTAATTAATGAGTTCTCTCTCTCTCTCTCTCTTTCTCTATATATATATATTTTTTTTTTTCTTATATTATACACGTAACGCACTTACTTACTTACACATAATTGCTTTTATGTTCCTCGTTTAATTTTTTTAATTCGTCCAATGTTAATGAATGAGCACCATAAACTAGTTTAATCCATGGCATATTATTCGTATGGTTTTCACTGGTTACATAAGTTATCGGCAATAGGCATAGACCAGTTTCCTTGGCCAGGCCAAATTTCCAAAATTTTTCGAACAAACGTAGTGTTCTTCCTGACCATCTTCTAAAGAAAAAAAAAAAAAAAAAAAAAGAAAAAAAAAAGAAAAAGAAAGAAAGAAAGTAAATTCGTAGACACAGAGATTTTTGAAAGAAAGAAAAAAAAATTAAAAGAAAGAAAAAATATATATATAAATAATATATATATATAAAAATATAAAAATATAAATATATATATATATATGTATATGTATATGTATAAAGAAGAAATCATTATCGTGAGTCTCGCAGGTTACAAAGTATTCAGATAAATTTTTTTTCTTTTTGTTTTTACATATTCTCTGTCCTTACTTTTCTTATCTTATCGAATGGTTTTATAATCGTAAAAAAAAAAAAAAAGAAAAAAAAAAAAAAAGAAATTACGACGTTCAAAAAGTGAAAATAATAAATAGCAAAGAAATATTACGATCAATAACGTAATATGATCGTTATTTATTGATACAATATTATTTAATGACTTTTTAATCAAATATTTTTGATACGATGTAAGATAGACAATATTAATCGTATCTCTTTATTAAAAACGATTGATACGATAATTATCAGTGTTTCAATGAAAATATTTGCGAATATTGATATTAATGATATTATATATCAGTTATCGGGATATACTTGTGGAGATAAATGAAGAAACTGAAAAAAAATAAAGGAAAGAGAGAAAAAAAAAAGGAAACAAAAGGGTAAAAATTAAATCTTACAAAATATTTTCTTGGGGTGTGTCGCCAAGTAAAAATGGTGTCCAAAGTCCGGCACTGCCATCGCCTGTTGTATTTGGCGTAAACACTGTCGAAAAAATGGTCACCTGATATTCCGGAAAATTTTTTTTCAACGCCAATCCACTGGTCATACCGATAACACCTGCTCCAACGATTGCAACGCGCATATTTTCTTTTTTTTCTTTTTTTTTTTTTTAATTTAACAGGAAAACAGAAAATATTCTCTTCTTTTTTTTTTTTTCCTTTCTCACGTAACAATATTATGGTGGGCCGATCGATAATCGGATCAATTGATTTTGACGAATTATTGTGTGAATAATAATTGTAACACAAATGACGATCTTGACAAATTATTGTTCACGCTAAACGAAGTTCGTACGATCACTGACGTTTAATGTCAAATTGATAACTATATAAATATAATACGACGACTTATCGTAAGTTATCTTTTAGTCTTTTTTTCTTTTTTTTTTTTTTGCTTTTTATCATTCTTTTATCTTCTTTTTTTTTCTTTTTTTTTTCATTTAATTATTCATCATCATCTTCTATCTCATTTCATTTATTTACATATAACACGATGAATGAATTTGTAATTGAAAAAATTGTACACTGTGATATAACTTTGCGTAAATTCAATAATGATTTATTTTCTTTATTTATTTAATTCTTTAATAATAATATTTCTATGAAATAATTAATGACATTTCTTTGTATTTAATTTATGTAATGTATTAAAGAAAAAAAAAGAAAAAGAAAAAAAACTTTAGACAGATGTTAAAGACAAATTTCATGAAAAATTTATTATATTTATTTCGTAATTCTTTTATTGAACATATTCCCTTTCAAAATCACTAATTTATATATGTTTATATTATATATATATATATATATATATATATATGTATATATATGGTACATTATATTTAATATATACATTATATTGTAATATATAATTCATTTATATTTCTATAGTAAATTATATTTGAATAATATAATAATATATTGAATTAATATTTATAACTTTACAATTATTATTATTATCATAATTATTGTTATTATTATTATAAAAATTATTAGTATGAAAATTAATGAATTTAATTGAAAAAAAAAAAAAAATAAAAAGAAAAAGATAATGTAATAAAAAAAATAATGTAATAAAAAAACAATGTAACAAATTAAATTGACAAATCAACTTACGTAAATACGATAAAGATAAACGAACAGTACATTTTTAATGGTCCAGTTCCATCTCTTTCTAATTAACGACGATTGCAGCACATTTACGACTTTCCATATTCTAAGCATAATGCCTCTTATCGTTACGGCTGGATTATGCTAAAAATATGGGAATCGTCAAGGCGAGTACGCACAATGTCCAAAATTCTCTCCGCCCCCCACAAAACAAAAAACAAAAAACAAAAAACAAAAAAAAAAAAAAAAAGAAAAGAAAAGAAGAAAAAAAAAATATAAAACAAAATAAAATAAATAAAAGATAAATAAAAGCTCGACTTTCGATTTCCAACAAAAAAAAAAAAAAAAAAAAAAAAAAAAAAAAATTAAGAAAAAAAACATTGTCAAATCCAATTCGACGATATTCTCGTGGCCTCGTATTCGATAAGTAGAGCATAATACTTTTAAATCAATATCACAAAGAATTAATACTCTGCTTATCGACAGCGTGACACGTAAAATTGTTATAATATTATATCACATAATCATCGATTTGATCGATCGAATCGATCATGAAACAAACACGAATGAATAATTTAACGTAGAATCCTTTTTGAGTCTTTCTTTTTTATTTTTTATTTTTTTTTTTTACAATTGCAAACTAAAAAATCTAACACGATTTTATGTCGCAACGACACGTTCACACGATCTCGATCTATGAACAACTAAATCCACTGTTCATTTTTAACGAATTAATTTTTAATAGTTCTTTCTATCTCCTACAACGAATTTTTGTTTTTTACTTCTTTTTTTCTATTTTTTCTTTTCTTTTTACTTTTAGATAAGGAAGATTCTTAAAAAAAAAAGAAAAAAGAATTTACATATAAATTACATTTATGTCGCAACGACACGTTCACACGATCTCGATCTATGAACAACTAATTCCACTGTTCATTTTTAACGAATTAATCTCTAATATTTCTTTCTATGTCTTACAACGAATTTTTGTTCTTTTTTCTTCTCTTTTTTTTTTACTTTTTTTTTTTCTATTTTTTTTTTACTTTTAGATAAGGAAGATTTTTAACAAAAAAAAAAAAAAAAGAAAAAGAAAAAGAATTTACATATAAATTACATTTATGTCGCAACGACACGTTCACACGATCTCGATCTATGAACAACTAATTCCACTGTTCATTTTTAACGAATTAATCTCTAATATTTCTTTCTATGTCTTACAACGAATTTTTGTTCTTTTTTCTTCTCTTTTTTTTTTACTTTTTTTTTTTTCTATTTTTTTTTTTTACTTTTAGATAAGGAAGATTCTTAAAAAAAAAAAGAAAAATTTCACACACACACACATATATATATATATATATATATATATATATATATATATATAAATATAAAGAAAAGAAAACAAAAAAACGAAGTTGAATTTCTTTCCAATCGAAAAAAATTTCTTACTCGACTTTCGACCGTGTCGGATGTTAAACTGAATGATGACGATGCTGTCATGACCGTCCACACGAAGTGGACGTCTATCAAAGAGAATCTAAGATACGGAATATTTGTTTACGCTTTATGCGATCGCTCTAGCCATAATATAGCCCCGGAAATGCTGATAAAGGGTGGCAAGTGACAACATTAAGAGCTCAGGAATATCAGGAATATAATTATAAATGTTAATCCTTATTCCTAATGGAAAGTGGAGAGAAAGGGAAAAAAAAAAAAAAAAAAAGAAAATTATTCATTCGAAAATAAATAATGTCAATCGATAATATCAAGGAGTTATTATGACAAGGTAAAAAAAAAAAAAAAAGAAAAAAAATATATATATATATATAAAAGAAAAAGATGAAAAAAAAAAGAAGACAAGGAAACGACGATATTAAATGAAAAAAATTGTCATAATTATAATTGGATATTGTGATTCGTTGATGAAAGAGGTAAGGAATAAAAAAAAAAAAAAACAAAGAAGACGAAAAAAAGAACGTAGAAAAAAAAACGAAAAAAATAAATGCGTATCTATATATATATATATATAATCGTCACCTTTTTGATCGTTGAAATTTTATATTATTTTGTTTTTACACTCTTTTTGTGGAAGCAAGATTCCTTGATACTTCACTCCGTTCACTTCCAATCCGAGAACGAGAACGTTACTGACGCCTTTAAATTAAAAATTAAAACGGGAACGTTTAAAAATATCTATCTATGTATTAATTATTAAAATAAATTATTTCTATGTGTTAACTTAACGATTCAAAAAAAAAAAAAAAAAAAAAAGAGAAAGAAAAAGATAAAAAAAAAAAAACAGAGTAATACTTTTACCATAATTCTGTAATGGTTTTTTCGTTGTCGTTAGATTTGTATTTGAAAATGATTGATCCTGGCCAGCTACCGTCGATGACATCGTTGGAGAACTTTTTATGATAATATTTTTTTATTATTATTATTATTATTATTATTATTATTATTATTATTATTATTATTAATATTATTATTATTATTATTAATTAGAATCTATTATTAATTAAATATATATATACGTGTACTGTTTTTTTTTTATTTTTTTTTTATTTTTTTTTATTTCTTTTTTCTTATTTTTTTTTTCTTTTTTTTTTTGTAAATATATAATTAAATAACGTATGACGTTAATTACCCTTGTGTCTCCTCCTTTCCACGATTACTTTCCATAATTTATCTCAATGTAATAAATGTAATAATTATCAATATGTACGATTAATTATATTATTTAATTTTCGTATTTGTAATGTTATCAAATGCGAGGTTATTATTCTTTCTAATTATAATTAATACGATCAAGAGAAACTTACTTACGCGAATATGCTCGTTACCATTCTCGATATCCTTAAATAGTTCCCCTTCCAATTGTCGTACGACACACACCATTTTAAATACTTTTATCGATACTCATCAATATTCTAACATAATCGAAATCGATTAACACACTGTCGCCATTTATAATATCACGTGATTATTATTAAAAGAAAAGAAATAAAAAAAAATAAAAATAAAAGAAAAAAGAAACGTGATAATATATGTCTGTTTAGGTGGTTCAAAAATTTTGGTTTTTTTTTTTTTTATTTTTTTTTTATTTTTTTTTTGGAAAAAAACAAAGAAGGGGAAAAAATTTTATAATAATATAAATATAAAGTAGTAATATAAATATAAATATACAATAATATAAATATAATAATATAAATATAAAAAATTATAATAATTTTAATAAATTATGATAATTTTTAAAAGTTATTATAAAAATTATAATATTATAAATTATATAAATTATAAAAATTTTTATAAAAATTATAATGAAAAATTATTATAATTTATAAAAATTATATAATTTAAATAATTATAATTTATAAAAATTATATAATTTAAATAATTATAATAAATAAATTATAATAATTATAATAGCGATTAGCGTATGATAATGAAATTTTTTATCTTCTTTTCTTTTTTCCTTTTTCCTTTTTTTTTTTTCTTTTTTTCTTTTCTCTTTTGTGAACACCACCACGAAAATATTTTATACGATGTTTCACGACAATTCGAGAGCATGAATTTTTCTTTCATCGTAAAAAATCTAAAAGAAAAAATTTTCGATTTAAAATCGTGAATTTATTTTTTTTTCTTTATTGTAAAAAATCGTCAATGAATTGTAAAGAATCGATGTTTTTTTTGTCAATCAATCATTGATAATCGATATAAATTCTTTAATTTTAATAAAAATATAAAAAATTAGAATTACTTTGGATGTATTATGTAGAATTGAAAAGAAATTTCATAGGATTGCAGTGGAATGAGAGATGGTATTCTAAAAGTCCATCCCATAGATAACTTTGATACTCCCATAATCTTTATTATTTCACTGTTATCGTAAACACTGACGTAATAAGATTCTAATTTATATTGAGATTTAGAATTTATTGAATTGGGAACAAAGAAAAGAAAGTAAAAATATATCATTTCATTATGTTAATAATTAACTTTATGGGATTTTAAACTACGTCAATAATATGATGTTTAAATTCATTACACACACACACACACACACAGATATATACACACACACACACTCTCTCTTTCATTCATTCTTGATTCATTTTATTAATTGTTTACGTAATTATAGTCATCTGATTTAATTAGTATATGACTTTCTTTGGAAGTAAAACGATAGAGGCGAATAT